CTTTCCCTAGTGCCTCTTTGCACTTGTAACGTATGTACCTAAATTAATAATGCAGTTCTGGTCAAACACCCACACAAAGAGAAATGATTCAGGTGAATTTAACCCATGCTTTGATTTTCATTATTTTCATGCTCTGAAATTAATCCATCTAGGATGTGTTAACTAACACGATTGTGGGAGTCCTTTCACAATGTTCACATGTATCACATCATCACACAGTACACTTTAAAATATATTACAATTTTATTTGTCAGTTATATCTTAATAAAGCTAAAAAATGAAAACTAATCCATCCAAGAATCTATAATAGCAAATACATTTTAAAGCACTTTTTTTAACTGTTAGAGAATAATGTTCTATATTCTTTTCCTTTTTTCTAAAGATGTACAACAGTTGTCACTTTTTAAAAATCTGAATTTAAGCTAATGAGCTTCAGAAATCAAATAGTCACATATTCTTCATTCAATTAGCCTGATATACAAAGAAGTTAGTAAGTTGATGAATTTATCTTCTATAGCTTAGTAAATAGTACAGATGAAAGGAAGTGATTTTGGAAATAAAGCCCTAATTCTGGCACATAACCAATACGTCCCTGTTATGCTAGTTAAACTGTGTTTTTATGAAAAAAAAGGTTCGAAATATCACCGTATACTTGTGCAGTCATTCAACATGAATTAAAAACATACTTCGTGCCAGAACCTGTGCTTAGTATCAGACCGTTTATCTTCTACCTGTTCCACTCCTCCAGAACCTAACAGCTATCCAAGCAAGAATCTTAAAATAAAAACAAGGAAATATTGAACTGACTCATAAAACATTTTTCAGTGACTCATTTCTTCCTCCAAGATTTCCTACACACTCACTGAAGCAGGAAAGTTCTTCAGCAATCCCTTTCATCTTGTGAATTAGTTTAGGAAGTATTTAAATAGAAATAAAATTCAAGGGATTCCAGGGGTCAATTGGCAATTTGAAATGCAATATTCCTGCAAAATACCTAAAGGCAAAATAGAGCAACAAAAAGCCTGCAAGAAAACAGTCCCTGCATACCAGAATCTCTTGAATTTATAGTCAAGAACATCCAATTGAGAGACATTGACCTTTGTAACAAGAATCTGGAAAATCAGAGCAACATGAATGGGTCAAAGTATTCATAAAAAGGAAAGTGCTTAGATGGACATTATGCATTTTTTATAATTAAACATAGTTTACTGTTTGCTAACAAAGAAGATACAGCAATCAAGTAGTAGCTTCCTGGAAAATAGAGATAAAGTTTTCATCTTCATCTTATCTGAGTTTTCTTAATGCGTCTCCTCTACGGCCTCTTATTTGCCTTTCGCTCACATTTCTAGTAGCCTTGCATGGTATTCCTTTAAGTTCTGGCTGCTCTCCAATGCTTGGTATCTCTTTAATTTGCTGTGCTGTTCTTGCAGAACATGTTTCTTCTAATGCCAGCGATAGCGAAAGTAGCTACCGTAAGTTATTGCTTTGGTTTGTGATTCTTTTCTTTGCAGTTGCCCCTTTGCCTGTGGTGTGCATTTCAGATTTTTGCTGTCGTTGTTTTTCAATTGCTGCCCTTTATCATCCTCATCCAAAGCAAATGGCTTGAAATGAAATCATCATCTGATGTGGAAAGATACCAAAGACACTAGGGCGGCGGGTGGACTCGTGATTTGTGCGAGAGGTAGCAGTCTTGCTAATAAATGACTCCAACCTCAGTTGGCTGGGGCCTGATGATGCAATTTTCCTAGAGAAGGTGGGGGTAAAGTTCAGCTTGGTGGATTCTGACATTCTGCCCTCCAAAATAATTTAAACTCCCTGCAGGAAGGTTGAAAAGTTGTCATGGTTTTATTTTCCTTCTCATTTTGCCTTTCCTTTCTGTTCCTGGCTCCCCTTTACAAGAGAAATCCTGATAAATTACAGGGTTCCTTTTAAATGGAGCATGAACCTTATATATCTCTTCTCTCCTTGATTAATATTTTGAGGTAGATACTATGTTATATCTAACTTTAAATTTTGATGGTTGGGAAGAGATGAAAAAGTTTCATCCTCTAATGTTGAAGGAGCTCACATTTTGTTTAAAAGTGAACAAATCTTGGATCAGAAAGCTTAACTGAAAAGGTAGGTAACTATTTAAAACTTATTTCTGGTGTTTGTTTGGTCACCTCAAGCCATTTGCTTAGTGATATAAAAATATTCACCAAATGCCAAGCACATCCTTTTTATCTGTTCTTGTGGTTTCTTGCCACTTACAGGTTTTTGGTGACTAAAAATAGGTACATGTTATTACTGGGATCCTTACAATTTCTGTAATATTTATTTATACGCCTTAGTGAAATGGGTTACTCAAAAAGCAATTGCTGAGGATATTAGAAAATTGCAGGCCCAATACATATGACCCTCAGCTACCAAGATAGAAATTGGTTGGAGGTTTCTGTTTTGGGGGTTTTTTTGTTTTGTTTTTGTTTTTTGTCTTTTTGCTTGTGTTAACTGAAAACAAGAATAGAATCGCTTTTATTTTTGTATTTTTCCATTACAGCATGGTAATTTACAAGACCATGCCTTTTTTGAGGTGGAATGTCAGATAGTGTTCTTGAAGTGTGACAAATTCAATCTGGATCTTGAGAAAGGCTTTGGATAACCAGATTGGTAGAAAAATAGAAAAAAAAGCACAAAAGAGGAAAGATGACAGATGGAGGAGGAAGATGAAACACACCACAGAACGAAATGAAGAAGAGGTGTAATGAGATGCCTTTGATCAACCAAATAATATTAGAACCCCCTCATTTCCTTCCTCAACAGAATAAGTCCTGCTGATGAAAGGAATGAAAGCATTCTTGTTCTTAACGTGATCTTTAACATTTGTACATTCTTCCTACTTTTATACTTTTATGATTATCCCAAGTTGGGAAAATATTTGCCTTCCCCCATCTCTTCATTTGGTTTTAAAACAAGGAAACCTGGCTGGTTAAGAAGTGGCCAAAGATTATCTTCCCTGCGCCTGAAGTACCCTCAGTGTAGTATAAGGAAAATATAACTTATTTGTTGGGTTTCATGGAGACCCTTGGCCCTAATTTCTTTGGCATCAGTTTTCAATTTTTAAGTGTTGTGCTTGCATCCTGTAGATACAGGTAGAGAAAGGGAAAACATCAGATCTTGTTCTTTCAGTCCCTTTTGTGGAAA